AACATAAGCCACTTTTGTGAGTCTAGAATAAAATATTTTCTCAAGCATTCATGTTTCAATACCAATAAGCTTAATAATAGTAACAAAAAATGTATTAACAATGTATCTGTCATGAACTTTGTGTTGACAATGTTCATGACCTCACATGCTCCCCTGCTTAAAACGATGTCCTCTTGGACAATGATATTAACACTAGATATTTGTCCAGCAAACACACTAATCCAACTATAGTCTAGATGAGAGTGATTTAGGTTGATCAGACCTAATCAATTCATTTTCTTTCATTGTTTTCTGTTCTATAAATCTCTCTTTTTTTCTTCTTTTCTTCTGCAGCCAGCTCTGTTTCTGTTAACTTATATCCCTTCTGTGGTCCAATATAATGTAAAATCTTTTTTAAAAACAGAGAATGAACAGCCTTCAGTTTCGACATATTTTGGTGATYAATCGCCTTCAGAATTTTAATGGTATGTCTATTTAACAAATAGATCTCATTTTTCCGTGCGTGTGTACTCTAATAGATACACAGATGACGTCAAAATGTAGTGAGAACAAAAAAGTACGCACGAGACGCAGTCGAGTGCTTGACTGTTGTTCTCACTACATTTTGACGTCATCTGTGTATCTATTAGAGTACACACGCACGGAAAAATGAGATCTATCTGTTTTATACAACAAACAATTAGTTTTGACGTAATCCGTGTATCTATACTTTGATAACACACGAAAGCCAACCAATCAAAACGTCTGATTTTACTGAAAAGTTGTATAAACGTGCATATACATATACGAATTAACGTGTCTAGAAGAAATGCTGCTATACCGACTCGTCATGGGGATAAACGACGAAACAATACAAAATCGACTACTTTMCGTCGATTACGATAAACTCACTTTTACAAAAGCCTTTGAAATCGCTACAAGCATTGATCTCGCCACCTCAGGAGCCAAAAATATCCAACAGCAAATCTCTGCACCGCCTGTTTCGGAGGTCCACAAAGTGGAGACCAGAGAGTTACCGAAAACTAAGAAAGCCTGTTATCTCTGTTATCGTTGTGGCGAAAAACACAACCAGGAACACTGCCCATTTTAAGATAAGTCTTGTTTCTTTTGTGGCAAAGAGGGTCACATAGCAAAGAGGGTCATCAAGATGATAACTGGTAACTGGCAAGGACGATAAGGAGCACCTCGCTAACCTTGATGCAGTGCTTCATAGACTGTCTAGCGCCGGACTGAGGCTAAACAACGACAAATGTGTCTCCATGTCTACCGAGGTGACTTACCTGGGGTACAAGATCGACAAAAAGGGGCTACATCCAGTTAAAGAAAAAGTGCGTGCCATTCTGGATGCTCCTGCTCCCACAAGCGTTTCAGAATTTAGGAGTTATTTGGGACTCCTTAACTACTATGGAAGGTTCTTACCTAATCTGTCTATGGTTCTAGCACCACTGCACGAGCTTCTACAAAGGAATGCTAAATTCAACTGGGGTAAAGCCCAGCAAGACGCATTTGAAGAGTCGAAACAACTTCTCAATAACTCAGGGCTACTCGTTCACTTTGACGCAACAAAGGAGATAATTCTGTCTTGTGATTCTAGCCAAAAGGGAATTGGAGCTGTGATCTCACACGTCATCGATGGAGTAGAAAGGCCAATTAGCTGTGCGTTCACTTACCGTTGCTGAAAAGGGATATTCTCAACTTGAAAAGGAGGCCCTTGCTGTTGTATGGGGGGTC